GGGAATAGCCCAGTGCCTTTAGGTTAGCTTTTCAGTCTTCATCCTGCTTGGTGCAGAACTTTCCTTGCAATTGCTTAAGTTGTGACAGCCCTCAACTCTATGGCAATAGCCTGATCACTGCGTTCTTCTATGGACACAGCATCCTGTGGACATGGGAGGAACCTCCCACATGCCTGTCCTCGCAGACACATGCAGGTTTCTAGCCACCAGCATGGAAGCAGTGTGTGACTCTAGAGTGAGGGCAGCTGGAGTGAGGGCAGCTGGACCACCGTAACAGGTAGAATTGTTTCGTGCATGCCTTATTTCACCTAGATGTTAGCTCTGTTGCAGTGATTATTTTTCCCGGATGTGTTCATGGGAAAGGACCTGATTCTCTCCATATCAGCAGGATTCTGCCTCCTTCACAACACACTTCAGGGTTTCATCTCTAGCAATGAACTCATTGCCAGGAGTCAGAAAGAACTCTCATTTTGTGGACTTTGATTCTCTGTTAACAAATGCTTATTTCCTACTCTATGCTCCAGCCCAGCAACACTTTCCAGGATGTAATCATGCGTAGGTTATAGTCTCTGCCCTCTGCCTCCAAATAAAGCTAGCTTTCTTTGTTAATGATGTATATATGAAAGACATTACGTATAATTTCATGTGTAACTCCTTAACAGCATAACATCCCAGATCCAATCTCTATGTAACCCTCTTACCGTAGACCTTTTATTTCAATCTGCATAGGTCTTTGCATTTATTTTTTACCTCCATTGTTCATTTTTATTTTAATTAACTTTTATTTAATTTTGAACAATCTACAACTTCTCTCCTACATGCGGTCACTGTAGTTTTCCCACCACTAAAGCCATCACCCTATTCCCTTGTGCTCTTACCCCACCCTTCCCCTTCTCCCCTCATGGCCACCTTATTTCTATCCCACAGATCTTTTGACAATTTGGGGCACTTTCTGTGGGAGTCATTGCAAGGCAGAAAACTCTCTTCCATATTTGGTAACCTTATATAGATGCGGCCCTAGGGCAGAAGCAATTGCAATTAGCTCCTGTTAATTAATTATGCCCATTTAAGCACCTAAGCAGAGAGAGAGGCAGTGTGGCTTGGACGCCATGCCCACACCCACGGAGGGCCGCACCACAACAGCACTGTTGTTCTGCACACCATTGCCTTTGGCTCCCCCTTGGCAAGCGACACTTAATTGCCTCCCAAATGAGTAGGTCTGAACCTGTTTACCAAGCCTCCTTGGCAAGACTGTAACCCAGAGTCCCCAGGCCTCCCCAGCCTGTGGGGGCCAATTAGATCACATTTTTGCTCAAATTTTCTTAGTTGGTTGTTCCACCACCTGCATAACACTAGCCTTCCATGCCTCCCTTTTCTCTATGTCTCTTACTGGTCCACAGGATGTATCATGTATGCACTCGGAGGTTCAGTCAGTCCTTTGAAACTACCTCCACCAATCCCTCTAGGCCTTCTGTGTATGAACACCTGTGTCTGGGCCCAAGTATCTCAGCCTCATCTGGCCCAGGGGACTGAGGTGGTGACATTCTGCCTGTCCTGTGACAGACCAACAATCTCATCAGTGTTGAGACTGTGCGGAGCTCTCAGTGAGTGGCCTGAGACTTGGGCACTGTGCAGAGCAGAGAACACTGCTCTGCAAATGTTCCTCATGCCTGTCTTCCAGTCACAAAGTTGCCCCCTGGCCTCCATGTACCTACAAAGGGCACAGAACTGTTCTGGCATTGCTCCTCATGCTGCCCCACCACATTCTGTATAGAGGCAGGAAAAACCTCCTCCACTCCATGCCCTCTTTTATACTCTATGGCCTCACAACTCTTCTGCTTATGCCTAAAGATCCAAAATTCTCTGATGCAAGAGAAGCTTAGGCTTCACTCTCCCCGGGGCTTCTGTGTCCCCTCCAGTGTCTTGTATGCACCCCAGCAACACATCCCCTCTTGCCAGTTTCTCTCTTAGACCCCATCAACCCCCCTTCATTAAGGTCTTCCTTGCTAAATAACTAAATGGCTCAAAGCCAGAACAATGTAGATCAACCATACACACATTTAGGGACTGTGGGTAGGGTCTGGTCACCTGTGTCTGATCTCTGCTTGAACTCAGCTATCCTAGTACAAGAAAAGATTGCGCCTCTATTGTGTATATTCCTTTTTCTGGCATTAAACAGAGCAACTTAAAGCTTGTTGGCAGATTCTTTTCTTCCTTCATTTTCCCAGTTTTCCATAAGGATGAAATTAGACAATGTGGTGAAAGTCATACTAAAATTGTCACGTGTTGAATCAGTGTAATAAAAGGTTAAAATCTTGCATACCATTGTTGCTCAATAGATAAAATTACTGAGTGCCTATTAGCCATGATATTTATTAGTCATGTAAGCCATTCATTAAAAAAAATACTTGCTTAGCACCTATGTGACAGAGACCATCTAGACACTGAAAGTAAGAGGCATAAGTAAGAGAGTTCATGAGGATAACATCAGACTGCAATGTGTTCTTCAGAGAACTGATTTTAAGGTGATGGGGTAGAGCGTGACTAGGTGGCCCTTTAATAGTGGGACAGCAATGAAAGCCACCCTGAGGGGTGACATGAGAGATCAAATGAACAAGCAACATGTGTGAGATCAGAGAAAAGAGGATTCCAGGTAGACGACCACCAAATGCAAAGAGTGGGTTGAATTTGCACTGCACTGAGAATGGAATGGAGGTTCTGGAGGCTAGAAGAGGGGAGGGGCCAGTTAGATGATGGAAGGCTTTGTCAGGCAGGAGGCACATTGATTTTTTGTTCTAGCACAATGGGAAACCGTTCGTGTTTGAAACAAGGAAGTCAAATAATATGATTTAGATTCTAAAATGAAGAGTCAGATGGCTGTGGAAAGAATGGATTTTAGTGGAGATAGAGAAGCAGCAGAAAGACCAAGCAAAAGTCTAATATGATAGGGCCATTAGGACTGACAGAGGAGGGGGTGTTGATGGGTCCGCACAGACAGAAGTGGGTCTTTGGACATAGAATTGACAAGGATTTACTAATGGATTGGGTGTGGCTCTTAAGGAAGTGAGGAACTCCAGAAATACTCCTAGATTGCCATGTCCTGCTTGGGGGATGGGCGTAGGTAGCTTGGACGAGGATGGTTGTCAAAGTATCTGGAAAGTAACTCTCTCTCTCTCTCCCCCCCCCTCCCCTTCTCTCCCTCTCTCCCTCTCTCCCCTTTGGAGAAACATGGAGAGAACCTGTTAGAGGAATCAGTTGGCTTCACAGATTTTTTTAAAAGCAATTTTTGAGGGCAAACCATAACCAATTCCACAGGCTAGAAAGTCAAAGAACTTTAAAATAGCCTAAGGCAGGTAGAGTATATTAAAGTCAAAGCCCACTCCCGGTTGGGAGCTCTGTTTACCCAGGGAAATATCCATAGCAGTGGGAGGTAGCTGGGCTGGGCTTGGGAATTTCTGATAAGTCTTCACATTGGAATTTAATTTGTTTTGCTTAAAAGTAAACTTAAGTGCTTGTTCTCCTGAAAGCTGCCAGCCCAGTCTATTCCCTAAGAGCCTGAATCTCAGACCCCTTTGTCATATACATTGTGTCCTGGTGTTTGCTGATTTCTCAAATACAGGTCTATGAAACCAGAAATGCCCCATAAAAGGGTAAATGTGTGAAATCAGGACCCTATGGGAGCTTAGGCATTTACAGATCCCTGAATTTTATCAGTGTACAAACTTTTAAATTAAAGATAATATCTGCTCTTTACAGGTTCTTACTGACAAATAAGAATGTTGATATCACTCAAGCCTTTGATATGATTATCTTTCCCAGAACTAGGAGTCTTCAGGACTAGCTAATCATGGGGACTTTTCCCTCCCAAGGCCTGAGACTTTCTCCTAATTCTATCTTAGTCACACACAGTTACTCATTACCTGGAAAGGTATTGAGAGTTTATCCACAGCCTCTGTACATTTTGTGCTGCTTTGTTAAATAAGGAAGAATGCAGATGTCTGAGTCATTGCTTTCAATTCATTTTTCAATTTTTACTTGGAGCAAAGTTTCTCTATATCCACACCAATTTTATTACTTCCCATGTTACTCTGATCATATACTCTGCAAGATAATTCAGTCTTTTGCTTGAGGACATTAATAATACATATTGTAAGTAGAGAGTAGTATTATCAAAGTACTCTTAAACCGATGTTAAAAATGGAAATACCAGCAAGATTTAGTAACTCACACTCAAGGGCTGTAGAGATGAGACAGAGAGGAAAAGAGGAGACAGTTAGAACCACCCAATCCCCCTCAGGGCTTTGCTACTGCTAGAAGGACCCCTCCACATGGTTTTCAAATCCTGAATTTATTTAGTTCAGTAGTTATTACACACATTACAAACCTAGCACATACAGAATAAGTGCATTCATACTTAAAATATTTGAAGTACTACTGAAGTATAAAACACTATAGATAAGGGCCCTGTCTTGAAAGGAATCTTACCTAATTGGGTAAAAACACACATGAAGTAGCTCAGTGACAAAGCAAGGCAAAGTGTGAGATGGGTTTGTATGAGAGAGCAGACACCATGCTCTCGGAAATCCAAAGACAGAAACAGGCGCAACCTGAAACCCTCAACTTCCTGACCTTAGCTAAAAGATCTTGAAGGGTGAACAGGATGTGTGTGGGAGGTACTAAGGGCAACTGCATGTATATATCTGTAGATACTGCCCTGGGAAGGATCAGGGTAGAAGATTTCTTGGGGCCACATGAAAAAAAATGTAACACAAATGATATCACCTGCTGTGATAGAAACAGCATCCCTTTAGAAGTAATCACCCCCAGCTGAGTTTTTGTGCTACAATCAAAAGCTGTCACCAATAACCTTAATTCAAATTGTATGCATCAGACAGGCTAGAAAATTCCATGCTAACTCATTGCACTGTAGAAGTGATAGCTCAATTGCAAGAGAGTAGAAAGGAGCAGAGGAGAGAATCACCAAACGGTAATGAACTTACCTGTCTTCTGCATCCATTCCCTCTACTGAAGGAGTTCCACTGCAAAGGGATTAGCTCCTCCTTTTTGGAATTAAAAAAATACTTTCAATAATCAGGAAATTCCTCTGGCTCAGAGGGTTCAATAGATTTCAAATCAGAATGACAACGCTATAGAACTGTCCAATTCTGATGTACTAGGACCATTCATTCACCATGTGTGTGGTCCTGGATGTAATTATAAAGCCCAGCTTCTGCATCTTTTAAACACTTCACCTAAGTGTCTAAGAAATGAAAGTTAAAATGCATTCTCTTCCTCTTACTCACTCACTCTTTAACTAGAATAATGAACTGAATATAAACCCAACCTATTCTCAAAGTCACAGTTCGCTCGGCCATTTCTTACCTATATGAATCCACATAGTTAATCTCTATAAACCTCAACTTCTTCCTTTCAAATCTGTACAATAGTACCATTTGATACAAATATTATAAAAATACCTCTTTATATACTATTATCCTTTTAGTTTGTAAAATATTTTCATGACTTCTCTAGTAACATCTTAATGTAGTTATTAGCAGTTTTGGAGATAAGAAGACTGAAGTTAACAATGACTAAACCCAAGAACATGCAATAATGGGACCCAAGTCAGGTACCAGCTAAAATGGAATCCTCTGACTTAGCTGTCTTTCTTCAGTGAGACCACGAGATAAGCAAAAAAAATCATGTCTGTATTTTATAAAGTGCATAGTAAGCCCTTGGTAAATGTGGTTTCCTTTTGAACCCTACAAGTAGTTGGCAAGAGCTCTAGGAACTGCTGGTGAGTTGGCACCTGCTTCTCATGACCCAGGAGCCGGGGCCCCCCATGCCTGTGCAGCACTAGAAAGGCTGCTAGTCTGAACGTCTGAAGGGCTGTCACTGTGAAACATGCACTGCATTTCAGAGACATCATGCCAACGAAAAAAAGGAAAACCTCATTAGGTTTTGAATTGATTACATAATGCAATGAAAAGATTTTGATCATGTTTAGTTAAATATTTCACCACAAAATATTTCACCACATTCTTTTTACGTCTGTGTAATGTGACTACTAGAAATTACTCTGTTGCTCATGTAGCTCACCTTTGTTGCCTGAATATTTCTTTTGTACAAAGCTTTTCTAGCTCATCCTCAAGTCCTTCCTTGTGCATTGCCTGACCTCTCAGCTCTCCTCCCTCTTCACCAGGACCGTGAGATCCTCCTACCTGGAGACCAGGGATCTACTCACCTACTTCATGCACAGTGTTAATAATATCCCTCTCTTTAGAAAAAGTACTGAAAGTAGAGTTTAATGCATCTGGGATGGGGACAAGTATCAGCCATGAATCCTAATTTCAAGGGCCTACAGAAAAATGATATTGTGATTGATAAGAAATGTGTATTTGGTCATTCTGATAACAAAGTGTGTCTCAGATATGTCTGGTTGTCATCCAGTGTGTAACTCAGAACTCCCCAAATCCTTGGGATTTCTTAAGTCGTCTTTTGTTAAGTTTATAAGGTGACTCTTAGAAGCAGCAAAATATGGGGGATGGTTGCCAGGTGAACCAATCATGCAATTAAATGTTTGAAAATCCCAGGCCCACCCCTAAGCCTTTGGGAAGGTGCAAAGGGGTTGGAGATTGGGTTCAATTGCTAGTGACCAGTGAATTAATTATGCCTAAGTAATGACGCCTCCACAAACCACAAAAGGAGGGGCTTAGGAGAGCTTCCAGGTTGGTAAACATGTGGCTGTTGGGGGCAGTGTTGTACCTGGAGAGGGCATGGAAGCTCCACCACCTTCCCCCATACCCTAAGTTACAACCTTTTACAGTAAACTAGTGATCAGTGAGTAAATGGGTTCCCTGAGTTCTGTGAGCCACTCTAACAAATTAATTATACCTAAGGAGGGGGTCTTGGAAAACTCTGATTGCTATAGACAGCAATCAGGAGCACAGGTAACAGCCTGGGCTGTATGTGGGCACCTGTAGTCTGAGGGCATCATGGGAATCTCCATCCTATATCCACTTAGCAGAAGCATAGGTAATAGTCAGGCTTGGTGCTGGCATCTGAAGTGGAGAGTAGTCCTAGGAGTCCCTAACCTGTGGAATCTGATGTGAATTCCCAATAGAGAGTGTCAGAATTTAGCTGAAATAAGTACTTGGAAACTGATTTTTTTGTTGATATGAGGGAGCCTCCACACACATAAACTCATGTGGAAATTGCTCTCACAATGCCAATTTCAAAGACTCAGGAGGATATTATAAAGTAGACCTGGTATAGGCAGTAATAGGGAGTGGTGGGGATTGTGGGACAATGAAGAGCACATACTTGATCCAAATGGCAAAGCCACTACTCAGCTCCAGTTAATTGTTGCTATATTAGAATTTGGATGCAAATCTTTTGATATGAGCTTTTAAAGAACCATAAATCTACAATCTTATGCGATTGGACAAGACTAGTAACAAAACAAACACTTATAACAAGCATTATAAAGGCCTTGAAAATTTGCCTGAGGACTCTGTTTGGCCCAGTTAGCCTTAGTAGGTACCTCTTTATTTATGTGTCGGACCCATCAGGGACAGTGTGAGCTAAACTGGGTAGGTTGTGGCTTCTTCTCTTGACATTGGCTTTGTCTCTTGACATCTGTAGACTGGAAGAGTCCTCTCCCTTTATAGAGGAGATAACTGAGACCCAGAGAAGACTATTGGCTTGCCCATAATCATACTATCACTCACTCAGGGCAAGAATGCCAGACTCCTAATTCTCCATTGACTGATCCTTCAAAACAACAGTGTCTTCTCTCTATCTCAAGGTTCATATCTGAGAAAGGATCTTGATGAACGGAAACACACTGTCAGATGTGTAAGTGAATCTTAGCTGTGCCCATATTCTGGGTGGCTAGGGGGATAGTAAAAATGGCTCATGTCCTTAGTGAGTCATCCTGAAACATCACAGCATTTATTATACAAGGACAGACACTAATTATTTATCCAAAGTGAATTGAAATCCCCAAACCACCCAGGTAGAGAAAAATAATCACAATGCTGAATATTCCTGTCATTTATGAGCAAGTCTGCATTCTAGACACCTGAGTCAGAACCCAGGGAGAGAGACTCTTGTTCTTCACCTGACATGGAAAACTTTCCATTTAGGTTATTCTCTAAATGTATGTGTCCTCTTCCCATTTTCAATGTGTGAATCGTCTAACCAAGTCTGCAGGAAAAATGCAGGTATTAAGTTTTGCATTCACTCAACACAGGATTTGTTCTTTCTGGCCTCTCCTTTTGCAAATAGATTTTACAGCACTTAAGACTTAAAGTGCTTGTTTATATTATTGACAATAGGTCCAAAGTAAATATCAGCGTCTGGGTAATTTCACCTTTCTTAAAACCTGGGACTTTCCTAGGTGAGGTAAGAAGACTGAGTTTTTTCAAATTACCCAAGTTACAAGAACTTTGCAGAAAAATCAGTTAATTTTTAGTAATTTACATACCATGATTTCTAGGGCTAAGTCTTGAGGGCAGTTTTATTTATGCTTTACCAGTTGTTTCTACCAACAATCCAATAGGACTACTGTCTAAGATGAGAAGATGGAGTTCTGGGAATGTGAGTTCTCTAACTAAAATGGGGGCCAGTATCTCCTGTTCTGGATCAAGGTTTCCTTCTATGATATCTGAAGCAATGTACATGCAGACATCCTTTGCTCATATTCCCAGAACAGCAGAACCCCATGATATAACTGGACATTACTATAATGCCTTAGTCTGTGGGGACTAACAAAAAGATATCACTGTGATCCTAAAGATTATTTGTTATATTAATTTAAATAAAAACAAGTAAAGGGAGTATTGAATTTGCTACAATTCCTGATAAACAGCATGGGGAAGTTTTCCCCTCTGTAGGAATCAGAAAATCTTGACCAACTCTCTTCTGTGACCTTTGCCAGCCAAAAATAAAAAAGATGGGAGAAAATTTTACAAAGGTTATGCTAGAGAAAGAAGTGGGAAAGATATCAATCATCAGAAAGAGAAGGCCAGGCTAAATAATTCTAAGTAAAACATGAAGTTCATTAGATAATAAAAAGTGCCTCATTGAGATGACATTCACATGATGAGCAGAAGGCAGAGAAAGAGCAGCTACATGGATATCGTGAGTGGAACACACAAGGCAGAAGGAACAGCAGGTGCTGAGATCCTGAGGCAGGAGCATTGCTCACGTAGTTAAGGAAGATGGAGAAGGCCAATGAGGCTGGCAGAGTACAGGAAGAGGGAGGTTTTTGAAGTCCATGAGGTCATTTTTAATATCTGCTGTGTGGAAAGAGAGAAGAATGGAGTTCATTCCTGTCATCTGGCAGTGCTTCCTATCACATAGAAGTTTCTCTTCAGCTTTATACATGATCACAGAGATCATATATCCCGAATGAAAAAAAAAAAAATCCCCAGATCTTAAAGGTGGTCATTGCTTTAGTGTGGAATATTCTTATTTCACATGTGCACGCACAGGCATATGTCAGCTAAGATGAATAAGCAGAACACACAAGATTCCTTTTGTCAGCTCTGCTCCACTTCTACCCTCCTTATTCTAGCCACTGGTCCTGGTGTCTCTCCTCTGGGTCTTTGGGAACTTCAAACTCTTGCTCTAGCTCCAGTGTTTGTAGCTCATAGCTATCCTCTACCCTCTGATGCTAATCCCAGGAGTCTTCTCCATTCCTGAGGGCGGTAAGAGGCAGAGGTTGGCATTCTGGACACCCCCCCCCCCACACACACAATTTAGCCAGTGCATCCCTGGCTTATCAGAATGAAGCATTTTAAAGATTTATTTATGCCTAAAGAACTGGGGTACAGGCCAGAGGTGCAGGGAGGGGCAGCAAGAAGATTCACCAGAGACAGAGTGGGGAACAGAACAGGCTGACTGATGAAGTACACTGCTGAGGGGAGCAGTGGGAAAGCCAGAAAAGGCCTGCCATGCCATGTGGATCACCTCCAGGGGAGGTGGGAATCGAACTCATGCTGAATTGGCTTTAGCTTCTTAGTGCTGTGCTTTAACCCGCCGCGCCACCAGGGAG